CCCATCTGGTTCATTAATGCCCTTTAGGGAAGGAAACTGCCATCCTTACCTGGTCTGGCCTATATGTGACTCCAGGCCCACAGCAACATGGTTGACTCTTAACTGCCCTCTGGGCAGTTAGGGATGTGCATTAAATGCTGGTCTAGCCAGTGATGCCCAAATCCCGTGAATGAATAAAGAAAAAAAATTAATAGTTCCTGCTGCAGCTCCCCTTCAACCACAGTCCAACCAACCTGCTCTGATGAAGAGCCATTCAGACTCGAAACGTTACCTTGATCTCTCTCCACGGATGCTGCCTGAGCCCCTGTGATTTCTAGTATTTTTATTTCCAACCAACCAGCATCTTGTTTTCGTGTTGTATAAATTATTTTAATATGGATTTTCTTGCTTTTGTTTCCTGATGACTGCAAGCTGAGATACTTCTCCTTTATTCTCTTTTTAGCAATCTTTATACTCCTGTGACCAATTCGAACCAAAATCTTGATCCCAGGATCAGTAGAGATGTTACTACGGCTGTCTTAATGTTTGCTTCTGCCCACAGCATCAATGTCGACGAGCGACCCATCAGCTGCTCATCTTTGAAAAGGCGGGCCTGTTAAAGTAGTCCAAAATAAAGAGTTAACTATTCTGTGTTAGCTGAGAGTATGGGCATCCGAAAAAATGGACCATCTTTATCTTAAGAAGGAATAGTATTTTGCAGTGATAATCTACCACTCAGCTGGCACATATTGAAGTGTTAGAAACAGCGAAGAAAACCTTGAATAATCTCAAAGATGTAGACAGTGACAGAAGCAATATAAAATGTAATAATAAGTCCAGGAATATTCCTTGGAAAGCTCTGCATTGGATCTAATTCTCTTGCCAGATAATAGAGAGCCAATAACATTGATGTTAAGATGCGATAGCTGACTATGAGGATCAAGGATTTTGTCTGGACCATAGAAGAAAGGGCCAATCAAAACAGATCATTGAAAAGCAGGGATTTCCAAATAATAGTAATCTTTATCTGCATGTACACGTGTCTCAAAAGTGTATATTGCTCAGCTGTTCAGCAATAATTGCATTGCACCTGCTTCCTGTTGATCATGAACTGCATTTACAGCATGCAGTTTTATCATTGAACACTCAGAATTTCTGAGATGTTGCTGTATGATGAAGCTCTATGACTGCAAGGCATTCCAGACCTATCCAAACACTGGAACCTTCTTTTCAGCATTAACTATTTTAACTACGTCTTCATCTGTCAATCACTATCATATAAAATGTGTGGATCTTTGGAAAGGCATCTTGAAACATGAGATGAGCAGGTGTAAAGAAAGTGTAGGGGAAATATTGAGAAAATTATCATGTTGAACCTCATCTTAATGATCACAGCCAGGAGAAAGCAGGTCAGATGTCTGGAATCGCATAGTCCTAGAATAACCTGAACTGTAAAGTGTACTTTTTGTGAGTATGAGCCACTTGATGGAATTACTAACTACAAGAAAAGGAAAAAGGAAGAAAGCCATCAAGACTGGTGACAAATAGAGAGTGGTAGAAACAACAAAAATTTGAAAATGGAAGTCAAGTGGAAACATTGTTACAGAAAGAGACGTATTTGTTTGACCATAATGAAAGTCATGGGAAATCGAGTTTTGATTCATCCTCATTCATTTTACTATTTTTTAGAGCATTTGAAAGTGGAGCGTTCTAGTAGAAGTTTCGATTGTTCATGAAAATCACCCCTGCAAAAACTTAACACAATCGTTGTCAAAAACAACAAAGAACAAAAATACAACAAAGAACAGAAAAAAACAAGTGCAGATGCCAGATATCTGAAACAAAAACAGAATTGCTGGAGAAATGCAGCAAGCCTGTCAGCAACGGTGGAGAGAAAAAAGTGTTAACATTTCAAGTACAGTGACCCTACTTCAGACATCTCTGACAATTCTGTTCTTTTATCACAATTATTGGTAAAACAGATACAGCATTTCATTCTACCATCATTCTGGATAGGACTCCAATTAAATCTTGGGTTAATTCTCATCACTGGAAATTTAATATCTATCATTCTCATGAATGAAATGGAATCACCTATAAAATGCCTTCAACTGTTTACATGTGGGAAGAATGGATGGTAGGATAGCACAGACAATTACAGAATTCATTGTGCACAATTTATTAAATCAAAATGGTCTATTGAAAAAAAACATAATTGGAAGAAAGGCAGAGATATTAAAATAATATTTTTGCTTTGATTTTCATGGGAAGATGTAACACTGTCAATACATACAATGATGGAAGGTGGATCGATTAAGGTCACTATTGATAAGAATGTAGTGTTGAAAGGAATAAAAGTAAAAGCGAACCTGGAACCTACTCACATTTGTCTTAGAATGCAGGGAGAAGTCAGAGAGGAAATATATGGTCTGACCACAATGTTTCAAGCATCCGTGGATATAGGCATTGTTAGAGCACAGGAGAGCTGATAACTTTGCACAGCTGTTCAAGAAGGGAAGAAGCATAAATCAGCCAAGTTGTAATCAGTTAGAATAATGTTAGTAATGATTAAACATCTACAGACGATGGGCTGAATCTTACCAGAACTCAGCTGAGTGTCATTTTGGCAATTTTAATGGAGAGTTTCTTTCAATGAGTCTGAATGAGATTTCTCACACTCTCTTCCCAAAATCACCTCATTACAATGCTCTATGCCCCTGTGGTGCACCACTTGTATTGTCTCCCATTTGCAACAGATGCAAATATTGGCCACTGCATCTTGAGATTCCTGGCGCTGACGCCATCTTTAAAGACCAGTCATGCACCTGGTCAGGCACGAGTGTTCCACAATGCCCTGCACAGTTTGCTTTCTTTGCCCCGAACATGTTGGGCAGAGGGTAATTGGCACATTGCTTTGCTGAACCAGGGGTGAAAACAGTTGCTGTCCTGAGCTGTTGGTGATGAACAAAGGTCCAGAGGAATACGTGGTGAGCTGGAATCACCACGTTACCGCTCTGTCTTTCAAACTGGCAACTGTTGCCATTTAGTCTCTATTACAAAATCAGAAATTTCTGGAGAAACTCAGTAGGTCTGGCAGCATCTGTGGAGAGAGAAACAGAGCTGGTTTTTCAAATTTAGTGACCATTCTTCAGTCTTTCATCTCTATCGGCATGTATAAGAATGGGAGACAGCAAATTAATGAAGGAAATAATCCTGTCAGCTTCATTGCAGCCGTTCCATTGCATTTGTAGTGCTAGCTGCTAGGAAAGGGGGGAACCTACCCCTCTAAAGGGAGGAGATGCCGCTTCAGAGAGCTAACAGACATTTGAATGGCTGGCAGCTCTCTGGACCTGGTAAAGCCTTTGTGTTTGGTGCCTACTACTAGAACTACAGGCAGTTCCAGCACACCAATGGAGTGCAGATTGGCGGGTGGTGGAGGGATGTTTGGTAGAGGCGGTGCTGAGGGAATAACTGCTGGCTGAGAGAATTTGGAATTCAGGTTTGAGAGACCAGACCAATGACCTTGGGGTAGGAGGGCATGGTATTGCCTCCAATCGGCCCAATGGGTCACCCCCCCTGCTGTGGTTTACTTGCAACAGGAGCACAGTGGATCGGGAGGGCACAGCACCCATTAGTCTTTATCTACCTCCCCCTGTGAGTGAGCCTATAATCCAGTCCTTAGGAAAATAATATCAATACACATAATTGCATCAACGGCCAAGTAACATATTCCAGCAATTCATAATCCCTTTGGATAGCAATGGTGGGGCTCTTTTGTTCAGATTAATGCCATGTTATGTGTGTGATGTTGTGACAGCGGGATGAATTTCACCAGAAGTTGGCTAAGTGTCAGTTTTGAGGAGGTTCATGGTGGGTTTCTGTGTGTGAGCTCTCGTGGGTTTTCTCCTACTATTCTCCACAGTTTGCCTCATTAATAATGCATCACAGCTTCACGGTGCCCGCTCACTTGTGGCAGCCGCGCTGGGACACTCCAAGATTCCTGGTGTTGGTATTGTTGTTAAATGCAGTTGTGTAGCAGGTGCAGTTGGCCAGCCAGTGACGTCCACATCCCAAAAATGAATGAAAAAAAAGTCGAGTGCTGTGTTGCACACACCTACTACCAAGGTTCCTGGCCCATTACTCTCAGTATTGCATGCAGCATCTTTCTTCACTTGAGTTTACCTCCTCTAACCCCGCATGCCTTTAGCACTGTCTCCCTACTCACTTGGGATAACTCACTAGCTTTCTCCAAGCTGCACTAACACTAATAGCCATTTTTATATCACTTAATGTCTTCTTTTGCCTTGATGCAGGAGAAACTGACACAAAATAATGCAGAGGGAGCCAAGGTGGGGAGACGGATACCCAACATCCATCACCTCACTCACTTTGAGGAGAGGATCTGAACCTCAGCGGGACAGGATAGAGATAGCTCATGTGATAATGCCAAAACTTCAATACCCCAGTCCCAAGTGAGGATCATTGTCCAGTGCTGCACTGCTCTCCTATTACCCCAGTAGCAAATGTTTCCTTAACACGCCTGAACGTCTAACACTATTTCACAACTCATTCCGTCTTTTCTTTCCTGCATGTACCAATGGTATCTCCACAGTCTCTCCCTGTAAAAAAGTGGAGATGTGAGCCCAAAAAGGTAAGCTGCACTTCGACAAACACCCCCAAGTTCTGAAGGAGTGCTATATTGTTGCAGATGCTGCCTTTCAGCCAAGCACTGTTTATTTTCTCACCTGGACCTTCATGTTTCCATGGGATTATTCAAAGAAAAGCAGGGAGTAATCCTTGCCTTACTGTCTAATATTTAGACCTCAAGAACCATTACATAATCAGATTATCGGGTCATTATCTAAAGTGTTGCTTGTAGGAGTTTGCTGCAAGAAAATTGACCGCCTTGTTTACAACAGTAACTACATTTCAAGAGTGTTTCATTGGTTGCAAAGTGCTTTGAGACATCTGGCCATTGTGAAAGGTGCAGTGCAAATGCAAATCTTTCATTCCTTGTAAAGGTTTAGAAGTAAAGAACCAGTGAAGAACCAGTGATTTCTGAAGAAGGATCCCGACCCGAAACATCAACTTTCCTGCTCCTCTGATGCTGCCTGGCCTGCTGTGTTCCTCCAGCTCCACACTGTGTTATCTCTGACTCCAGCATCGGCAGTTCTTACTATCTCTGATAGTCGTTGCTTGAAAAACAAAACATACAACTTAGATGGTTAGTGGCTAAATTCCACAAGGAAGACCCATTGCTAGGGTAAAACATTGGTTTGGAATGGCATATATAACTGACAAAAGTGTCACCAACTGCTGCTGTTATATGAATTTAGGTTAGCATGTGTTGAGCGACAGGTACAAGTATCATTGAAGGACATTTATAATTCGTGGAAAGTAAGTGGAACAAACCTTGTGGTTAAAAATGTGTATTTTTAAGGCTTCTTCTAACTCCTTCGGCTGAATCTTAGGTGTTTTTGGTTGAGTCCTATATGTGTTGAGTTTTTTGGAGGGATTTCCACACCAAGGCCCAATGAGTTTTCTCACCATATTTTATTAAAGTCAACTCATGACCTACCTACCTTTTTCTGATGAAGGGTCTAGGCCTGAAACACCAGCCTTTCTGCTCTTATGATGCTGCTTGGCCTGCTGTGTTCATCCAGCCCTGCACCTTGTTGTCTCATGACCTACCTACCCCAGCTACAGTGGCATCCATCGCATTCCGTTCCACTTACCATGCACCATTCCCAGAATAATTTGCCACTCATTGGATATCCACTGGAAGACCAACATCCCTTCCAGTCTTGCAATCATTAAAAAAGACCCCCAAGCACCCAGACAAGCACCGGCATGCCCTGTTCGGTCAAGGATGTTTATGGAAGACGGTTGTGACAGGATAGATGGTGCTGTGATTCTCTGCCAGGTGACCTGGAGCTCCAAAGGAGAGGAGTCCTTGACTCGGAGAAGTGGCAGAGGAGGCCACACCACCAAACCCTGGCAACCTTATCTAAGGTCACCATCCAGGTCAATGTGGTCTCAGTCTGAAGGAATAGCCAACAACAGTAAGTAAGTCAATAACATTCTCTTCTGTCACACATTGAGTGCCATATTCTTTTCTTGAACTGGCAGCAGTGCTGAAGTCTTGTACTGCAGTACTCTCGATCATCATTAAATGATGGAAGAATCATCAACAGCGCTATCAAAGCAGCACCTACTCAGCAACAAGCTGCTCACTGATGCCCAATTTGGGTTTTGCCAGGGCCACTCAGCTCTGATGTCACTTCAGTCTTGGTTCAAACAAGGACAAAGGAGCTAAATTCTAGAGGTGACTAAGAGTGACAGCCCTTAATATCAAGGCCACATTTGTGGCATCAAGGAGGCCTGGCAAAACTAGACTGAATGGGAATTGGTGGGGAAAACTCTCCATTAGTTGAAGCCATATCTGGCACAAAGGAGGATGGTTGTGGTGTTGGAAGTCAGCTATCTCTGCAAGAATTCCTTGGGATAGTGCCCTAGATCCACCATTTTGCTTGCTTCATTAATGACCTTCCCTCAATCCTAAGGCCAGAAGTGGGAATTTCATTGATAACTGCACTCCATATCCAAATGCAGCAAGACCTGATTAATACCCAAGTTTGGGCTGACAAATGGTAAGTAACATTTTCACCAGTGCCAGACATTAATAATCTCCAACAAGAGAGAACCTCATCCTTGATATTCAATGGTTTTAACTATCACTGAATTGCCCAATATCAATATCCTACAGGTCACCATTGAAATTAAACTGCACTAGCCAGGATAATATTGTGGCTACAAGAGCATGTCGGAGCCCAGGAATCTTTCTACCTCCATTTTAAAAATATTTAAAGACTCTGCTTTTTGAGGAAGGGAATTCCAAAGACATAACTCTGTGAGAAAGGGTAAGGTACAGTTGATTATAGCATAAGTTCATAAATAGCTGCATTTTCAGCTGAAGCAAACTATATGACTCAGAGTTGAAACACTGGTCAACATGACTAACCACGTATGATTAATAAATGCCTGTGGGCTCTTGAGAGCTATGTTGGAAGGACCTTGACCACAATCTGCTTTGTTTAAGCTCCAATGAGAGCCTGGGCCTTCCATAACTTGCACTGTCGTAGAAATAAACTGTGATATAAAACTTAAAAGCATCCTGTTATTAATTGTAGGAAACTTTTAAGAAAATACTATCAAATGCTTATTCATTTAGATATCATGGAGAACAAATCTAAAGAGAGGTCTTGTAGTGAAATGTGTAGTCCAATCCAATGGAAGTCCATTGTTAGTAACAGCTTCTTAGGATGTGGTACCAGGTGATGGAGAGTGAAGAACTGCTCAAATTCTATCAAATTACCTTTTCAATTTTTCTTACAAAATCTGGTAAGTAAATATAGACTCATATCAGAAATTGTATGGCACTGTCAGGGTCTTGCAAGTTAATTAAAATAATGATGCAGAAATTTCCTTTGGGATTCTTTACTTTAGCTGTTGTGACTTGGGGAAACTACAGATAGAATTATAAGTGGGGTTTCTGTCAATTTTCCTGTGGTCAATCAGGGGAAACCCAAAGGAAGTTCCCTGTGTTAGTACTTTTATTTCATTGCTGAAGAATTTCACAATTGTGCCCCCAGTATGTTACCTTGGACACTTGAATTTGCCTTTGAGTAAAGCTATAGACCCGGAAATTCCTCACAGTTGCTCCTGCTCTGGGGGTAAATCTTTGCCATAAATATAGTATGCTCTGGTGAAGTAATGCTGGTGGAGTTGGAACAGTTCAGGGGAATTTCTCAGAGGACACAGACCAAAGATTAGTCATGACAGAAAATGAGGAAAACCTTTTCTCATTACCCATCCAGACAAGTGGGGATTATACAATTGCAATCCTGACTTGTGCCTTGTAGATGGTGGATAAGTTTTGGGAATTTAGAAGGTGAATTACGCATTGTAATATTCCTGGCTTCTGACCTGTCCTTGTAACCACTGTGTTTATGTGGTCAGTCCAATTGAGTTTCTCGTCAAGTTTAATCCCCAAGATGTTGATAGTAGGGGATTGACTGAAGATAAATTCATTGAATGTTCAGGGGGAGTCGTTGAATAGTCTCCTACTGGAGATAGTCATTACCTGGCATGTGTGTGGTGTGAATGTTATTTCACAAATGCCAGGTAATGACCATCTCCAATAAGAGACAATCTAACCACCATTCCTTGACATTCAATGATGCTACCATCACTGAGTCTCCCACTATCAACATCCTTGGTTATTTGGATGGTGAAGAATTTCACATAGAATTCACATAGAATCCCCACAGTGTGGACAATTTGTCAAATGTGTTCAAGAAAATTTTCTTTATCAATATGTGGATGCTCCTACTAGAGAAGGAGCAAAACCAGACCTTCTCTTGAGCAATAAGGCAGCACAAGTGACTTAACTAAAAGTCCTGGAACACTTTGGGTCTAGCGATCATATTCTATTAGTTTCAAAATTGTCATGGAAGAGGATAAGCCTTCCATAAAAGTCAAAGTTTTTAATTAGAGTAAGGCAAATTTTAAAGGTATGAGACAAAAACTTTCAAAAGTTGATTGGAGTAGACTGTTCGCAGATAAAAGGATATCTGACAAGTGGGAGGCTTTCAAGAGTGCGATGACGACAGTTCAGAGGCATTATGTTCCTGTTAGAGTGAAGGGTAAGGCTGGTAAGATTAAGGAACAATGGATGAATAAAGATATTGAGGTTCTAGTTAAGAATAAAAGAAAATCTTATTTTAAATATCGACAACTTGGTTCAATTGAATCTCTTAATCAATATAAAGAGTGTAGGGGTATTCCTAAGAAAAAAATCAGAAAGGTAAAGAGGGGATATGCGACAGCATTGGCAGATAAGGTTAAGGATAATCCAAGGAGATTCTACAAATACATTAAGAACAAATGGATAACTAGAGATAGGCTAGGGTCTCTTAAAGATCAAGGAGGTAATCTTTGTGTTGAACCCCAGGAAATGGGAGAATATTTCACATCAGTTTTTACTTTGGGGAAAGAAATGGAGTCTAGAGAAAGCAGAGAAATATTTTGACGTTTTAAAAACAATTCACATTACAGAAGAGGATGTTTGGGAGACCTTAGAGAATATAAAGGTGGGCTAATCTCTGGACATGATCTAATGCATCCTAGAGCGTTGTGGGAAGTAAGGAATGAAATTGCAAGACTCCTTGTAGAAATATTTGCATCATCTATAACTACAAGTGAGGTGCCCGATGACTGGAGGATGGCTAATATTGTACCTCTGTTTAAGAAAGGTTGTAAGGAGAAACTAGGGAAATAAAGACTAAAGGGATTAGTCTGGGTCTGAAGTCTGACTTTAGTTGTGGGTAAATTGTTGGAGGTGATTATAACAGATATGATTTAAGAACATTTGGAAAGGCAAAAATTGATTGGGGATAGTCAGCATGGTTTTGTGCGAGGAAAATCATGTCTCACAAACTTGATTGAGTTTTTTGAGGAAGTTACCAAAAAGATTGATGAGTAGACGTTATTTTCTTTGCTTTTAGTAAAGCTTTCGACAAGGTTCTGCCTGGTAGACTAATTAGTAAAGTTAGGTCACATGGGATTCACGGTGAGCTTGCCAATTGGATACGTAATTGGCAACAGAGAGTGTTGGTTCAGGGTTGCTTTTTGGACTGGAGGCCTGTCACCAACAGTGTTCCATAGGGATCGATTATGGGTCCTGTTTTGTTTGTCATTTGTAAAATGATTTGGATGAGAAGGCATAGTTAGTAAGTTTGCAGATGACACCAAAATTGGTGGCATAGTAGACAACGATGAAGGTTTTCTAAGATTACAAAGGGATCTTGATCAAATGAGTCATAGAATCATAGAATCCCTACAGTGTGGAAACAGGCCCTTCAGCCCAACAAGTCCACACCGACCCTCAGAACATCCCACCCAGACCCATCCCCCTATAACCCACCTAATCTACACAACCCTGAACACTACAGGCAATTTAGCATGGCCTATCCACCCAGCCTGCATATCTTTGGACTGTGGGAGGAAACCAGAGCACCCGGAGGAAACCCACGCAGACACAGGGAGAATG